AGACCATGCTGGCCTCTATCTCACAGAGACCTGCCTGCCTCTGCCTCCCAAGTACTGGGACTAAAGGCATGCACTACCACTCTCCTCCCAGCAAGAGAGTCTTTAGCAGCTCTTTTCCTTGATGTTCAATTTATTTTTTAATGTATATAATTGAATTTTTGTGCATTTCATACAATATATCTTAATCATATTTAGACGCCCCCCTCCACAATCTGCACCCTCCCACAGCTCTCCCACCAGATTTCATGCATTATGTTAAAGCCTACTGAGTCAAGTTTCTGTGTCCAGATAGCTCAAGAGAAGGGTGGATAAGAGGAGACAGGTATTATCAAGGGGAAGATGGGGGTACTTTAACTGGGGAGGGAGAAGGGAGGCTTAGACAGGGAGAGAAGAGATAAATAATGGTTAGGTGATGTGGAAATCTAGAAGGAAATGTATTAGTTAAAAAACTTACTGAAAAATACACATACAATGTATGTATAAGACTACATGTATATAGCTGAAGGCAATATAACAGGAAGCACAGTGCCAGACAGGAGAAACTGCCCTTCAACTTGGTCCTTCTTTCTGTATGAACTTATTTTGAAATGAAAGAGTGCATGAAGAGAACTTCTTTAGGTTAAGGCTTCAGGCTCCCTCCAGGCAGCTCCTTGGTGTCAATCAGTAGTCCCAACTTCCTTCCCTCTGAGCTTTCGTCTTGCCTCCCCGAGAGAGCTGTAGAGCATTCTTCTCGAATGTTCCCTGGGACCCTCAAACTTCCTTCAACCCCATGGAATTCAGCCTCTTCTCCCTAAATTTGCTCTCTTTACTTCTTTTGTTTGTTTGTTGGTTGGTTGGTTGGTTACGCATTGCCCCACATAACAGTCACTCCTGCCCTGGTGTCAACGGGTGCCTTTCCTCTTCGGTCTATGGAGCTATAGACACGTGGAGCACCTGTAGGAAGCACCCACCTTCTCAGAAGCTCTCTAATTCTCTCCTTCTCAAAAATTGGATAGACAGTAGTTTCCAAAGTCTATTCTTTCTCAACTTTTTGGGAACTATGTTTTTCCCTATTCACAATATACCATTCAAATCTAGCCTTTCAAAAAAAATTCATTCAGCACCTATTCTGTGCTGGGAACTGTCCTGGACACTAAAGAAAAACTGGTTTCCACTCACAACGAGCTTATGATCTATTAGGGAAAGCAGACAAATAAACAGAGGCTCTCAAACACAGGAACAGAATGCAGCCTGCAGGATGAAGGGAAGGAGAGGAACCAACCTGACCTTTGGGCACTTCTTTTTACTTTTTATTTAAGATCTTCTAAAGGTGGGCATGGTGGCACATACCTGTAATCCCAGCATTGGGGAAGCAGAGACAAGAGGATCAGGAATTCAAGGTCATCCTCAACTACATAACAAATTTGAGACTAGCATAGTATACATGAGAAAAATTTAATGCAAGCTCTAGTTATTCATTATTGCTGTGCTGGAAAGCAGTATCCCTTTATATATACCCTGTACCCTGCTGCCTGCTGTAATCACCTTTTTTTGCCAATTCTTTGGGATTTTCTACACAAAGGATCATGCCATTTGTGAAGAAAATTGGCCTTATTTTTCTTCTCAGTCTGTATACCCTTTCTTTTTTTCCTATCTTACTGCATTAGCGAGAACTTCCATAAATATAGAACAGAAGAGATAAGATGTCTTTGCTATTGTAAAGGATGAAGCAGCTATTTTCTTACCACTAAATATGATGTTATTGTAGAGTTTTAAAAATATTTTTTAATTTTTTTGATTTATTTTTATTTTATGTGTATGTGTATTGCCCGCATGCAATACACCCATGTTGTGCAGTGCCTACAGAGGTCAGAAGAGTGCATAGGATCCACTGGAACTGGAGTGACAGACAATTGTTAGCCACCCTATGGGTGCTGGGAATCAAACCTGGGTCCTCTGCAAGAGCAGCTAATGCTCTTAACTGGTGAGCCATCCCTCCAGACCTAGAGTATAAATACTCTTTATCTATAGAGTCAAATCTGTGTCCCTGAATGCTCTTCAGTGTGAGTCTATCCACTGCAGCCTGGTTAACCTACCCAGAGGTCACACCCTTAAAGAAGACTGACTTGGTTGAGGAGGTTCCTCTGTATTCCTGCTTTGCTAAGAGTTCTTTTAAAAAAATTATTTATGTATTTATTGCGTGTGAGAGAGTATGTTGCAGGAGTTAGTTCTCTCCTTCCACCAAGTGGGTCCCAGGGATCAAACCAGGTCATCAGGCTTGGTAGCAAACACCTTTACCCACAGAACCATCTCCCCAGCCCAAGAGTCCTTTTGATTTAAAGTTAGAAATGGGTCTTGGACTTACTCATTATTTAGTTTTATTTTTGTTTTGTGGATCTTTAGTGGGGTAGGTATGCTGGGATCAAACTTGGGCTCGTGCAAGTAAACTGTGCTTTACTACTGAGATATACACCCAGCTCGGACTAATTCATATGAATTGAACTTTTTAAATAGATATGTGCCCTTGGCACATTTTTTCCATTTTCCTTTTCTTATCATTTTATTTAGTTATTTTTCCTGGGTTTAAATGTTTATATATGTGTATGTGTCTGTATGTACACATGTCGTGTGTGGGGGGTGCCCTCAGAGACCAGAAGAGGATATTGGATCTCTTGGAGCTGGAGTTACAGGTGGTTGTGAGCTATCTGATATGGGAGCTGGGAACCCATCTTCTGCAAGAGCAGCAAGGGTTCTTAATCTCTGAGCATCTCTCCAGCCCCTATTCCTGCTTATACATAGCTTTCTACTGTATGCTGGATTCTGTATATGACAGACTATAGAAACACTAGATGTGGGGAGTGTGTTGTTCCAACAGACAGCTAAATTGTGACATATCACCTTGACTCCCAATTAGCTGGGTCTTACATTGTATTGGGACAAAAGTATTTCAGCCTTACCCTTCAGACCCAGAGCTAGTATGTCAGTGCTGGGATGTAAATTTTTCTTCTGAGATGTGATCCTTTAGATGTCTTGCTGGAAATTCCAAAATGTGTACTAGCCCTACTTGGCAGGATTTGAACTCCAAACTGTTTTTCCTACAGTGAAGAGAAATAGAATTTCTGCTTAACTCCTTCAGTTTTGTAATTTGGGGAGATGTGTTAGAAATACAAATAAATTTTCATTCATATATATGTATATATATATGAATGGAAATATATATGGATCCCTGCTAAAGATCTATCATCTAGAGCTTTGTCCTTAGCCATACCAACCTGGATTAAATCTTGTATGACTCCACCAAGGATTGAATCTCTTCCGAGAGTTTCTATGGATCTCTCTATATATGAATATATATTAAATATATATATTGTTTTGTTTGAGACAGGGTCTCACTATGTAACTCTGGCTGGCCTGGAACTCGCTGCATAGACGAGGCTGGCCTTGAACTCACAGAGATCTGCCTCCCGAATTCTGGGATTAAAGGAGTGTGCCACTGTGCCTGGGTTTGATTTGTGTATATTAATTATACAAAATAATGTGTTCATTATGATATTTTCATACACACATAAGATATACTTTGATCTCTCTCTGTGTCTCTCTCTCTATCTCTCTCTCTCTCTCTCTCTCTCTCTCTCTCTCTCT